CAACGGGGAAGGGTCTCCACTATCGCCGCCGCAAAAACATCCCCCCTTTCATCCCTTTCTGCTTTTTTCTTTCCCTTCAGACGAAATTCAGAATTTGCGTGGCGGAGACTCGGAGACTCTCTAGCCTTAAGTATGGGGGTGATTAGGGATCGTCGGCCAAATGACCGGTCCACCGCGCCACGCCATGCCAGAGGCAAGCGGGAGCGAGCGGGAGGGCCTTCTGTTCGGGCTGCAACGGAGACTAAACAACGCGGGGCGCGGGGCGCGGGCGAGGCGCGGCTGTACGGGGCCAGGCCGCTGCCAGGCGTGCGGGAGACAGACGCAGGTGCACGCGCTATGCGTATTCATGCGCGCCCCTATCGTCCTATGTGCTTTACAAATCCCCGCCCCGCTCCCCGCCCTGTGCTTCCTTCCCCCGGCCCTTGAGTCGATCGGGAGGGAAAGCCGCAAGCCTCGCCTCGCATCGCCCTGGTGGGTGTTCCTGGTGGTGTTCCTGGCGGTGTTCCTGGTGGTGGTCCTTGTGGTGGTCCTGGTGGTGTTCCTGGTGGTGTTCCTGGTGGTGTTCCTGGTGGTGTTCCTGGTGGTGTTCCTGGCGGTGTTTCTGGTGGTGTCCCTTATTGTGGTGATCCTGGTGGTGTTCCTCGCGGTGTTCCTGGTGGTGGTCCTTGTGGTGTTCGTGGTGGTGTTTCTGGTGGTGTTCCTGGTGGTGTGAGTGCCACGCCCTTGCTCGCCTCCTGTGTTTCCTTCCCCCGGCCCTTGAGTCGATCGGGAGGGAATGCCGCAGCTGTTCCGCCAGCCTCGCCTCGCATCGCCCCCGACTCCGCCGCCGACGCGTTCCCTTCTCCGCCCTTTACTGCGTCCGAGAGGTTTCCCGTGGCCACCGTAAGGCTTCATTTGATTGAGTGAAAAGGAGAAGGGGGAGCAAAAGGGGGGAAAGGGGGGTGGTGGTATGGACCAACCGCGGCATGGAGGAGGAGAGGGGGAAGAATTCGAGACGAAATGTGGCATTACAATACACGCGATAGAATTTCGGTTCCGCCACACCCAAAACACCATTTCGTTGAAATAAAAAACAAACTAGGAAACGTTTTACTTGTTTCAAGTTAGTTTCCTTTTCTTTCAAGGTGAAAAATACAATGAGAACCCCATGAAACAGAGCAAATAACTTCATTGAAATGGGGAAAATCTGATGTTAACTTGTACAATATTTTTAAAAATCAACTAAAATGGACAAGATTGTGGGCACTTTAACAATCATTTGCGATTTTTTGGAGTGCACGAATAGAAAAAATAATAAATGCACTTTCAAAAAAACAAAAATGGACTCGTGTAGAATTTTAAATGTAACATAGGCTGTGCCTGGTGGAGCACACCTTTATACTTACCGACGAGGGCGAGGATGACGGTGAGCAGGGGCGCCGCAGGGAAGGTGGCCGTCACATTGAACTCGAACATCTGCAGGAGCTCGACTGTAAAACGGATCAAGCGAGAGAAAACGTGATGAGAAAGAGGCGACAAATAAAGAAAAAAACGCCTCGCGTTTCTCAGCCGACAGACTGGGGTCCACACGAGAGGTTTATAATACTACCGTCCCCACCAAAAGAAAAACTCAAAGTAGGCGGCATAAAGCAGGCTATGGCCACAGCAGAATCCGGCAGAACCGCTCCCGCTCAACGGACACACGGGAGATAACAGGTCCCCTCCACACACGCGCGCAGCTGTTGCGTCCCAGGGGCGGTACTGCCACAGAGGAGTACGGATTTCTTGT